ACAAGAAACATGCGCAGTGGAGAAATTAAACAAACAAACGAAGTTATGCAAATGACAAGTATGCAAATGAATAATTAACAATTTTGAACTGCATACAAAATACAACCATCTTGAATCAGATCATGAAATGAATAGGCATGCTTTATATCCCAAGATATATGATTGTGTGTGTGAAATTTAAATGTGATCGACTGAGACATGTCCGATACACAAGTCCAGATGAATGAATGAACTGACAGACAGACTACGGCATGGAAGTTTTTCTACCTGCATTTTTACAGGAACTAAAAATAACATGCATTAAGGTCTCATTCTGACCGAGGTATGTTTCAAAGTTTGAATGAAATCTATTCATACATGACTAAGCTCTAGTCATTATTGCAATTATTGCATGTTTACATAGAGCTGGTCAAAATCCACAGCATGTAGTACAGTAAATTAAAATAAACTTGTGGATACCGGATAGAATAGAGCTGAACATAATTAAGATACAAATTCAATGAATTTATTTGCTGTTTTAAAATCTGATGTGCATGCGACTCAAGTGATAAAGAAGTCTGACTAATTTCATTGGGGTACCCACAAGCCAATAGAAAATGCTGTGGCTACCGCAAGACCACCACCGACCCCCCCCCCAAAAATTTATTACCCTCATAATTAAAACTAATCTTTCAATTATCAAAGTACAGTTTTCAAGGAGGTAAATTTTAATTAAAATGTTGTTTGCTGAAGACAATAAGAGACAAAATTGGAGGAAACAAAACCTAAACAAACCACTTTGTTTGTAATTACTTACCTCCAAAGGTCCACGCACATATGCCATCCATTTATGTGTAGAAGGATCATTTTCTTCTCGTTTATCTGGTGGTATATACCTGGTGGCAAGGAACAACATATTGAATTATGTAAAACAGTGGTGACATCATAAACATTAGTTATTCCTCAAGACCACGACAGCCAATCAGATTCACACACTTTTACAGGTAGACATATTCCTGTATTTACCTGGTGACATATTCGTATGTCGACCTCCATCTGGGTCTCTTCCTCCTGAATTTACCTGATTTACCCATGGGGAAATGGCAATATTCATTAAATAACTAGTTTACCATGCTTGCTTTCATTGTTTGACTATCTTATTGGAAAGAAAACTATGTTTTTAAGTGATTTCGCCTGACTTTTAGTCATTATACATTTTGTGTGTCATTATCATGTGTCACAGATCTTATTTTTAGGAAGTAATTTAACATTTATAATTGTCATATTCAGTGTATTGCAGAAGGCAATGTCGTGTGCATGTCACAGTAACACATTCAATTTCCACAATTCTTCCACAACTCGAGATGAATTCATTAGGGATACAATTAATTTTAAGTATACTGCACAGACATATCAGCAGCCCCCCAAAACAGCAGTGCCTGGGGCAATACAACTGAATGCAAAATTTTCAATTTTAATGTTTTTCCGGGTGTGAGTTAATTATTGTGCAAGTTCTCTTAGATCCACAATTCTGAACCTTGTGGCTGTCGATAGAAAGTTATAAACCCAGCTCCGCTTTCAGCTTTGTGAGGTTAACAACTTTCCACCCACAACCGTGAGATTTACAATTGTAAACCTAGGAAAACCTGTAGAGTACCTAATTACCTGAACAAGATTTTACTTATACTTACTTTGAAATATTACCAACCACAATTCTTTTCTTGACATGAAATCTGGATGATTCAGTGTTTGTCGGAATCTCATCAGTTTTACTCCTTGGTAGTGGTGATGGTACACCAAATGTATCCTGAAAACAAAGAAATAATAGTGTAACAATGAAATCTAGGTGATGTAGTGTTTGCTGGAATCTCATCAGTTTTACTGCAGTGAGTTAGTTATTTCTGAGTATAATTGTTGATGTACCTGAGGCATTATGGAATGACTTATATGTGATTGTATAGTATTTTCTCTGAATTACACAGGAATGAAAAAAGGGTATAATTTAGGTTCCATGCATCTATATGTCTTGTGCATCTGTCTAAGCATTAATGTCATTTCTCAGACATGCCTGGGACGATTTTGCTCAAATTTGGTTCAAACGCAAGTTATGATGGCAGACATGAGAAAGTTTTTGAATTTTGTTGAACACACAACTACAAGGTGAAAATGTCAGCTGTGTTTTCTTGGGAAAAATGAAACACAATGAAAAAAACAGCTCATTTTTCAGTATTTTCTACTGGTCTATTTGTAGTAGCATGATTTATATACATGTTGCTATAAAGTACTAGTAGTGGTATGGTAAAATAATTTACATTTAATTTATTAAAAGGTAATTTATTCAAACTTCATTAAAGTTATTCAGTGTGTTATATGTTTCTTTGCTTTGAGATGTTCAATACAATGTATGTAAAAAAAAAATAAAAGGAAATATTGAAAAAGTATACTTTTGCTGGTATCTCAATTCAATACAATTTATTGTGCAAATAAATAACCCTATAGTACCCGGTACTTTGAGATGTCTCTATTAAGCTATTGAGCGTCATAATTTTTTCAGACAAAATTTTGATGCAATGTCAGTTTTTATGAATTTTTCTATATTTATTTTTATTATTTTGTATCAAATGGACATAATTTTCTACTGGCTACATGTTTGATCAAAATTTTGAAAAATTATGTAGTTTAACATTTGAGAGGAAGCAAAAGTTGACCTCGGTGCTAAAAGGGTTAAGGAGTATGATTATTTGATGAAACTGACCTGCTGCATGTATTAAAGGGCGGTGGTCGTCGTGCCGCGTCCTGTTCGATATGGGACTCATAGCAACGTATACAACGCATGTAAAATACATTGTTTGTTTACATGAAATTCGAACACGCGCTGCGCAACGATCACCGCGCTTTAATGTCACCTGTGAGACTTATGAATGCACAATCTTTACCTGTCCAATGTTTCTTGGTCCTTTTGCTCCAGTTGGTTTGATGTCATCAATCTCCATTTCATCATGCTCTTTCTCAATCTCACGACTCTCTCCATCCTCAGTGCTAGTTTCCAAGGCAACAGTTGATGATGATTTTTCAATAACTTTCTGGACAGTTGGATGGAGACCGTTTTTTTCACTGACAGGATCAATCTGCTGATAGATACACTTATTAGGATATCGCAAAAAGAGCTGGGAAGCAAATTGGCTGGAAATAAAATTTTGGGAAAAAAAATCATTGATTTGAGTGGGTCATATATTTCGAAATTTTTTAATTAATTTTATTTCAGAGCAAATCACTTCCTGCATCCCCAAATATAATAACCATGGCAGTTATCAGATTATCACTACGTATGTTATTTTTCAGTACCTCTCCATTTGAATTCTGTCCTGCCATCCCATAATATGTTGCTACAACACACGCTCTGAGACGATCCAGCATCGAACGGACTTGATGGATCCGCTGAAAGTAACAAACAAATTCATGCAATTGAAAGTGAGGAAACAATACTGTTGTAATCAGTTTTGTGTGTGTTTTTGCTATAATTGGATCCAGTAAAAAAAATCACACTGGAAATCATAAAAAGCAAGTTTTTGACAATGATACAGTGACCTTTTATAATATTTTTTTTAATACCAACTTGTAGCTTTGTGGGAAGTGGCTTTCGCCATAAGTAGCTTTCGCCGTAAGTGGGTTTTGTATCGAAGTAAGGCTTTGTCGCAGTAACTGGTCCTTTCATCGTTGTTGAGAATTAAAGTATTTTAAGTCTAACCTTACCAAAAGTGGGAATTTGTTAGTAATCTAAATATCCAAACATATTTTAGTATAAGGTAGTAACAATTTCAAAAAAAAAAGTGTGAAACTTATGCAATTGCAGAAGAAATCAATGACCTATTTTAAATGTATCAATTGAAGTTATTGTGGTTACTATGATGAATGATTGTAGAGTGGTGTTACAATTTTTGCTGGTAATACATATGTCAGAATATATGAAAAATTTATGTGTTTAAAATCTATTATGATGGACACTCATATGACAGCCAGTTTATTCGTGTAGGTATGTTAGAGATACAGTCCAAGAACAGAAAAATTTGAAAAAAAAAATGGCCACCAGTTGGCCTTTTTTAATCTGATCGGGGAAAAATTTGAAACAAATGCATGTGCATATGTATGATATGATGTGTGATATATGTGTAAAGTTTTAATGTGATTGGTCAAAGCATGTCAGAGATACGGCCCTGGAACCGAGATCCTATTCCTTAATATTAAAAATGTCTGATTGTGATGATTACTTTAAAATGGCCACCATTCGGCCATCCTGAATTGGATCAAGAAACAAATGCATGTGCATACATGTATGTATTATATAATATGTGCATGAAGTATTAATGTAATCGGTTTATGCATATCTCATATTGGAGATACTGGTGCGAACAGATGCCTTGGGGTGAAACAGTAGGTCCTTGATTTTGGACTATGAACAACAAAAAAACATCAATATTTAACAGGAAATTGGTTATGTGTTCACTTTCTTACAGCCGTTCTGAGAATTATTCGAACAGTCAGTTAGCAAGATGACTTGCAACATTGCAAAACACTTTGGTCTTTGCCCAATCGGCTGTAAGCGTGTAAATATTAAGTTTTAAAAAACAGGAAACTTGTTGTTTTGGGAGTATACATTAAATTTACAGACAGAAGGAGAAGCCATTGCTTGATTCTCATGATGCAACATACAACTACAAGCGTTCAAAAACGTTCAAAAGTCACATAATTTGTATTTAACATACTAAGAATTGTTATCATATTTAAACACTGAAATGAAAGTTATTTTTTTCTCCCCCAGGATTCATACCTGATCAATTAAATCAATCTCTTTCTCCTTGTTTTTCATCTCAATATTAAATTGTTGTTTTATTATGCTTTCCATTCTCTTCACAGTTGCTTCCTTGGCTGAAAAAAAAAGAAAGTCAAATTACTTTCAAACCACTTTTTTAATATTTTCACGACTGCGCTCCTATAAACTACAAACAAGCGCATCAGAAAAGCACTTGCTGGTAATTATACCTACTCATCTATCATCCACATTTCTATAGAAGACTTATTTTCACTTGTGGATAAGTATAATAACTCATCTATCCTCAACATTACTGTAGAAGACTTATTTTCACTTGTGGATAAGTATAATAACTCATCTATCCTCAACATTACTGTAGAAGACTTATTTTCACTTGTGGATAATTATAATCACTATCTATTCCCCACATTACTGTAGAAAACTTATTTTCACTTGTGGATAAGTATAATAACTCATCTATCCTCAACATTACTGTAGAAGACTTATTTTCACTTGTGGATAATTATAATCACTATCTATTCCCCACATTACTGTAGAAGACTTATTTTCACTTGTGGATAATTATAATCACTCATCTATCCTCAACATTACTGTACAAGACTTATTTTCACTTGTGGATAATTATAATCACTCATCTATCCTCCACATTACTGTAGAAGACTTATTTTCACTTGTGGATAATTATAATCACTCATCTATCCTCCACATTACTGTAGAAGACTTATTTTCACTTGCGAACAATTATAATTACTCATCTATCCTCAACATTACTGTCGAAGACTTATTTTCACTTGTGAACAATTATAATTACTCATCTATTCTCCACATTACTGTAGAAGACTTATTTTCACTTGTGGATAATTATAATCACTCATCTATCCTCAACATTACTGTAGAAGACTTATTTTCTCTTGTGGACAATTATAATCACTTATCTATCCTCCACGTTACTGTAGAAGACTTATTTTCACTTGCGGATAATTATAATCACTCATCTATCCTCCACTTTACTGTAGAAGACTTATTTTCACTTGTGGATAATTATAATCACTCATCTATCCTCCACATTACTGTAGAAGACTTATTTTCACTTGTGGATAATTATAATCACTCATCTATCCTCCACGTTACTGTAGAAGACTTATTTTCACTTGTGGATAATTATAATCACTCATCTATCCTCAACATTACTGTAGAAGACTTATTTTCTCTTGTGGACAATTATAATCACTTATCTATCCTCCACGTTACTGTAGAAGACTTATTTTCACTTGTGGATAATTATAATCACTCATCTATCCTCCACGTTACTGTAGAAGACTTATTTTCACTTGTGGATAACTATAATCACTCATCTATCCTCAACATTACTGTAGAAGACTTATTTTCACTTGTGGACAATTATAATTACTCATCTATCCTCAACATTACTGTAGAAGACTTATTTTCACTTGTGAACAATTATAATCACTCATCTATCCTCCACATTACTGTAGAAGACTTATTTTCACTTGTGGATAATTATAATCACTCATCTATCCTCCACGTTACTGTAGAAGACTTATTATCACTTGTGGATAATTATAATCACTTATCTATCCTCCACATTACTGTTGAAGACTTATTTTCACTTGTGGATAATTATAATTACTTATCTATCCTCCACATTACTGTGGAAGACTTATTTTCACTACATTATTTTTCAATGAAAGAGTAATGACTTCATAGAAAAAACTTTTCAACTTCAAGCTTATATACCGGTAATAATGAACCCTCTAATGGAACAATTAGAAACACCAGCATTTCAGATTACCATAAAAAAAAGTTGACGGGTTCAAACTGCTATTATTGCACTCTCTAGTTGCTTCGACTAGAAACAATAAACATTTCAGGCAACTATCCTCGGGCGGACATCCGGGCATTTTCACCGCCTGGCAACCCGCGACGGTGAAAACAAAGGCCCAAAACTCGCAGAAAACGGTACTTTGGGATGATTGTTGAGACTCCTCTGAACAGTGCAACAAGATTAGCCTTACGTGTGTAACATATATAAATTTGGTTGTTCAGGATTACTTCAAAGTTGAGTTTGTGTTGTTTTCTCGAATTTTCACCGGTTCCACCGGCGTTCCACAGCAGCGCGCACAAAGCCCATAGAAATACGTGGTACAGTGGTGCGCGTCTTAGCAACGTAGAACGTCCGTGACGTAGCTCCGCCCCCCGAGGATACAAAATGTTGATAGGTTTAACCTTATAATAGTGCGCCCTCTAGTGGTTAAAATGAGAAACACTGTAAACATTTCAGGCTGCCACGTAAAAATTAAAGTACACCCTCTAGTGGTAAAAAACTGAAAACTTAATGAAAAATACAAGCTACCATGCAAAACAAAGGTTGACAGGTGACCATGAAACCTGTCTAAACTCAAACAAATTGTTTGGTTAACTGTACAAGACTTAATTTTTAACTAGGTTTTATTTTTCGCTTATACATCAGATATATAAATGCGTTAAAATAAAAACACAGTGAATACACATTTTCTCTATTCAAAACTTAATTATTTCCTGGGTTTTTATCAATATGCAAAATTAACCACAGTTTTGCTGAAATTATCCCCAATGGATATTCTCTTTCTAGTTTTTATAAATTTATGAAAAAGTCTAAATATACAATATATATACAACAAAAGACATTTGGAGTATAGACTTGTCTCAATTTAATATGTGTTTCAGTATAATTATTTATCTCATTGAATTAAATATAAGTAAATATTGTAGATAATAGCGAAATAGCATGTTATGGAAGGAATTAATGTTTCATATCTCAAGTTTGACATTTTCACCCAACTATTCCACAGTGAACCATACATGTTGCTGTTCTCTGTACAATGTACGTTTACTGAATGATCAAACTAAACAGTGTTTACTGTTATGAGGTAACCTTGGAATAAGACAATAGCAAGATGAGTTAGTATGACTAATATATACTCCTGAGACATGCCATGCTGACACACCAAAAGATCAATCTCCTAGGGTGGGCTAGTCCATTTCAATAGAGGGGTGTGTGAGTTCATACCTCCTTCCTCAAGCCTGCGTTGTAACTTCCTGGGTTCGGCATCATCAAGGTAATCTGGGTCTTGGTCTTGGTGTCCACGTTTTGACGCCATGATTGTACTATAGGGATAAAAGAAAATGGTTATTGAACTTGAGGATGGAGGGTACATGTATATCTTTGGAAGCTGGGTTGAGGCCCCACCCCTCCTCCTATTAACAGGATATGGAAGAGGAAGAAGGAAATTCACATAGAAACAAGATGGAGGAGATTTTTTAGAATTCTACAAAGCCATTCAAAATAGTGAAAAATCTACTAAATACATTTTAAGAAATGTTGGTCACGAAATTGAGTGACCTGAGAATACTTATGTTAAAGCCCCTAAATATATTGACAATGCACAATATGGGACTATTTATTGATCAAATTTGTTAAACCCTTGATCAAATTTGTCAAAAAAATAAGGACAAAATTTTACATGTTTCTTTTTGTGAAAAATGGCAAAATTTGACTTGGCATATACAAATTAGCTAATTAATGTACACAGAAGTATTTTATGAAAGGTAACAAAATTTGACTTGGCATTGATAGGAATGATATGCAAATTACCTAACTAATATGTACAGAAGGTTTACAAAAGTATTTTGTGAAAGGAGGCAAAATTTGACTTTGGCATTCAAAAGGTATAAATGGTATGCAAATTGCTTAATTATTATACACAGAAGTATTTTATGAAAGGTAACAAAACGGCATTAATAAGAATAATATGCACAGAAGGTTCATATAATTATTGTGAAATATGACAAATTTGGCATTTACAAGTTGTTAAGAAATAATTCTTAAAATCTCATCCTTACAAATATTATAAACGCATTAATTATTTGCTCGTTTTCAAAAGGCGGTGGTCGTCACGCCGCGTTGTGTTGAATATAGGACTCATGGCCAACGCGTGTAAAATACATTGCTTATTTACATGAAATTCGATTATATGCTGTGTGATGACCACTGCCTTTTAATTTTGGCTATTTTCGCAAACAAGTAAAATCAAATCCATGCGAAAATGTAAAAATAGAAATCATTGTTTTTCTGCCAGGTTTATGAACCCAGTGAAATTGATCAAAGCCACAAAATAGTGAAATTAAATGTCAGTGAAATAAGTTCTCTGGTTGCAAAAACTAGCAACGAAAATAAAACGGTTTACAGTATGTATCCCGTATCAGTAATGCAAATATGTGAGTGAATGTTACTCCATATGTATTTGTGACTAAAATAGCATGTGATTCACTATTCTAGTCACATGTCAGATGCAAGTCAGTCGCATGCCAGATGCAAGTCAAGTCACATGTCAGATGCAAGTCAGTCACATGCCAGATGCAAGTCAGTCGCATGTCAAATGCAAGTCAGTCACATGTCAGATGCAAGTCAGTCACATGTCAGATGCAAGTCAGTCGCATGCCAGATGCAAGTCAGTCGCATGTCAGATGCAAGTCAGTCACATGTCAGATGCAAGTCAGTCACATGCCAGATGCAAGTCAGTCACATGTCAGATGCAAGTCAGTCACATGCCAGATGCAAGCCAGTCACATGTCTGTACAGTTGCCAAAGCACCATTTAAAAGCCAGGCTCTTTTATACAATGAGTCAACAAGTCCAACTTTTTCAGAAAAATAAAAGGGTGGCTTGTCTAACCTTTTTAATTTTTCAGAAATTTACAAACACATACAGAAAAGAATATATATATTTAAACTTTTTCCCGAGCTAAAATTCTTGTGAATTATAGAATTCAGCTTCCAAGAGAAAAAAATGTGTAGCAAGAACAATGGATGCCTTTAAACTTGGGCAATTAGCTGGGGGAACCACAGGGATACCAGCCAGGATGGGAGGAAGTAATTATCTGGCAATGGGTGGTAATATACAAGAAACACAGCTGTGGGATTAGTTTACATTGTAACAGACTCAAGGTAGAAGCTTACTCATGATTACAAATACGCAGAATTTATTCATTTTCCAATAAATTGTACTTCTGAGCATTGAAACTATATTGACTTAAAACAAGTTAGGGGTCACCAGCTTAATTTTTGAGGAAATGATGGTTGCATTTTAGTGGATAGTGGCCATTTTGTCACTATTATAACACTTTTACCATAGGTTCCTATGCAAAAATAATGTCATATCTTAAATTGTAGGCTGGTGACATAAGCTGAAAAAACTATATAATATGAGTTATGTGGTACTTTTTGTTTTTTCAATTATTTCAAAATTCAAAATGTGGCAAAATACACAATTTTTGTGTTCTATGAATTGTTCTAGAGATAGCGATTTTTTTTTTAATTTTAGGAAAGTTTCTCAAAATACATCATAGTACTAGTAACTCACAAAAGAATGCTATTTTATGGTAACATAGGAAAATAGCTTCATGATTTTACATAATAAACCAATGAACATTGTCATGTGATTTATGACCAACTTTCTCAAAAATGATGAAAAGGGCTTCTACCTTGAAGGAGAATACAATTGTCAACACACTCCTTAAAATTAACACTTTGAAAGACGTATTCTCTGCCAACATTTTGATGCAACATTTCGCACAATTTGATGTTTTTTTGATAATTTCTGTATTAATTTTTCTCCAAATACACATAATGTCTCTATTTAGTATACCTTGAACCTTTATGAGCACGTGCATTACCCCTAAAGCTTTCTGAGTATGTCCAGTAACCCTTGAACCTATCAGAGCAGTATCTCTTGACCCTTTCTGAGCATGTCCAGTAACCCTTGAACCTATCTGAACATGTCGATTTCAAGCATGTCCAGTACTGAGCATGTCCAGTAACCCTTGAACCTATCAGAGCAGTAACCCTTGAACCTATCTGAGCAGTTCCAGTACCCATTAACCCTTTCTGAGCATGTCCAGTAACCCTTGAACCTATCTGAGCATGTCCAGTAGCCCTTGAATCTATCTGAGCATGTCCATGTCAAGCATGTCCAGTACTGAGCATGTCCAGTAATCCTTGAACCTATCTGGGCAGTTCCAATACCCCCTTGACCCTTTCTGGGCATGTCCAGTAACCCTTGAATCTATATGAGAATGTCAAGTTACCCTTGAACCTATCTGAGCATGTCCATGTCAAGCATGTCCAGTACTGAGCATGTCCAGTAACCCTTGAACCTATCTGGGCAGTTCCAATACCCCCTTGACCCTTTCTGAGCATGTCCAGTAACCCTTGAACCTATCTGAGCATGTCCAGTAACCCTTGAACCTATCTGGGCAGTTCCAATACCCCCTTGACCCTTTCTGAGCATGTCCTGTAACCCTTCAACCTATCTGAGCAGTTCCAGTACCTCATGACCCTTTCTGAGCATGTCCAGTAACCCTTGAACCTATATGAGAATGTCAAGTAACCCTTTAACCTTGAACTTTTCTGAGCAAGTCAAGCACCCTTCAGACCTTAAAGCATGCTACATGCTCGGGAAAATATATACTGCTTCTCGTAAAAATTATCTCCAGTATTAGCTGTGAATAACCTTAACTAATCTTTAGTTTGTTTAGTATAATTTGATACAGTCAGAGTGATATATGAATTTCATTTTTATCCCCATGTTCAGTTTGTATGCAACATGTTCCCTATTTGTTAGGATCTATAGAAAACCTTAATGTTGTACAGTTTATGAGAAATCGTATCTAATAGATTCCTGAAATCGAAAAGATGCAAGCAAATGGCCTTGCAAGATTATAATATTAAAAATCATAGTTAAAATCAGAGAACTTAACAGTCAGAAAAGGTGACACGAATGTGGCCCTAAATCTAATCACATATTTGCACATTACCCCAATGTATCTAGATTCCAAATTTGATCAAAAACTGATCTTGTTTACACAGCCTGAAATGTGATGTATATGCAAATTAGCTACTTAAACACAAATACCTAGCCTCACAACTAATCATATTTGTACATTGCCCAAAAGTATCTAGGTACAAACTGGCTCAAAATCCGGTCAATCTGCCTTTTGAGGGTTTGTTTACACATACACACTTGCACATACAGAAATAACAGACTCAATAACTCCCTTGTGTGCTTCACACACACACACACACACACACACACACACACACACACACAAGAGCTATTGTTTGATTCGATGATTAGACTCAACGACCTTCAGTGCAGGCTAGCTTCACTGCTTTCCTAGCTATGTTCATGTCAGAGGATCTTTGCAAACAGATTACAGCAGTTGCATTCACATTAGTAGGGACTTGCATCAGGACCCACTTAGAACCCACTAGGCTTGTGCCAAAATCACACCCTTATTCGTCAATCTGTTAGTTGATCCAAACATGGCAGATGATACGCATATGGATGTGTGTGTCTGTATGCTATTTGCTTTAATGGTTTTTGTTATGAGTCATCATGCACATGAACAGCAAAGAAGGATTCAAAGAACAGTCATTTTTCATGTTGATGTAGCATTGCAAAAAAAATGGTAGTACCAGCCCATAAATATGTGTTACCAACAAAGTTCGACATTCAATCATTTATTACTTCAGCATCAGACCACATTCCCTGTAGAGGGATCAAATCTTTTTCAGCAAGATAGCTGCACTTCCTTCTGCCGCCATGTCATATGAATCAGTATATTTTCTCTTTGGTTCACTACCAAAGGCATCATTTCAGTTTGTTCCAAATTTTACGCAGCAAATCTTGGCACATGCCGAGTTTCGGCCCGGCCCTCTACTGGGAAAGAGATCAAGCTTTTTTCAGCATATGCCAACTTGGTCCCAACCCCCACACACATGTTTCAGCACGTCCCCACGCGGCCCCTACTCTCAACCCGTGTCAAGATCTGTAATGTGAACGCCACTAATATTTCAGGATTTCTTGCAATACCAACTAATTTTATTAATTTCATTGTGATAACAATAATTAGTGGGAAGGCCAACTATAAATACTATAATTCAGATAGTCACTTTGATTCATGAATCTTTAATCTGTATTTTATGGAAAATTTCACATTGAAATTGCACAGGATTACGGTTGAAAGAGGGTTATGATTCCATACACAGCAATTGGTCAATTTTCAACGATTGTGGAAAGTTTTACATGTACATGTATATTTACTTGTCTGATAATAGGATTTATTGTAAACTGCTTTTATTTTGAGCGAGACAAATTTCCATTTCCATGCAAAATTTTATTTTCAAAAATGCCATGAAGATATCAAATTAAGCAAAAATTGTTTTTCTGAATAAAAGTGCTGTATTGATATATTGAGTTAGTTCTCAAGTTCAATTCTGTGTTCAGAATGACAATAATTGAATTAATTTCTCTATCCCGGAATGCTTATAGCTACTGAACGTTTTGTTTACCTCACAAAATGCTATATTGTATTTTTCCATATTAGTGGAGGTTGGCTTTTTTATGTAGACTAGTATTAATTTTATAATTCAAATACTGAACACTGAGAAAGTTCAGAGAAGATAATATCACATGCAATCACTGATCATTATAATAAACATTCATTTTTTCTTTTCCTTTTTTTTAAACACAAGTGATAACATATTTTAATTTCTTTCGTTTTTAAAAATATTATACAGAAGAAAAGAAAAGAAAAAAAAAGCATACAAAAACAGAACAAAATCACATTTTGAATAAGTTTAAATTTTAAAGGGACATGTTATTAACTCGGTGAGTTATAGTGTTCGAAAGACTGTGTGTATGCAGACGACGCAGCAGTCTGCTTGAAAGTGTTTATTGTATGTTTTATCTCAGTCTACCAAAATTAACACTGCGGAAGCAATTTGATCACGCCACACAAAAGAAGCAATAAATACTTTTTACACTCAAATTATAAGCAATGAAATCCGCAAGGAATTACGTGGATCCGGGAAATGAAACCAGCTATCCGGAACAGACGACGAATGAGTCATAGTCCAGTCCAAGGATGCGCAAAAGCGACTGAATTCTGTGACGAAATGAGCATGCACGCAGACTTTTAAGAATGCATTGATTTTGTGCGGTTTTCACTTGGCACGCAGTCAAACTTGACGCATTAAAACCAAAATTTGCAATTTCATGGGTTACTTACCAAGTAGGGTCAGCTGCGATAGATTAAAAACGTTTAGTATTCTTTTAAAATCGTCATGATAAACAAATCGTTCAGACGAAATACACCTACTCTATGGACGTCGCCATATTGGTTACGAACCCCCTAGCTAAGTGAATAATGCCATGCCTTCCTGTATGAGCAAACTGTCGTCGTATCGGCCATTCAACCCACCGATACATTGGGAACCTTCATTCGTCTCGGGTTATGCCTCAGACTAGTAACATTAGTTATCTAAGGTTATATGGAATGGCTTCAATAAACCGTGTTTGGAATGAACCGGGGAAATTGTGTACGATCAATTTAAATGTACTACGTGAATGAAAACGTATTTTTGAAATTGCTGTTCAGTACTTCATACTGTAGACCAAATTATATTGCGTTTGCAGGACACACATTGCACAGTATTCGTTAGATGAAAATCAAAACCACTAATGCGCATGCGCAATGATAGTTATTGTCGGTATTATGAATATTGGCTAATATTTCGTCAGTTCTATCATCTAACGAAACCTCCGATCGACACAAGAACAGTGTTTTCAGGTCATGATAAATCATAGTCCAATGTAGTAATCGATATACAATATCCAACGACAAAATAAAAACATACATTTTCTCGACCATATTGCATCTCCAGTTTCGTTATTTCGAGGTTAATCACGGTTACTAGTAACCGAGGGTTAATTAAACACCGCCGTATACTTGCATGGTTTCCCGACCTTGACATTTCAACACGGGATAAAATTGTAGTGCAACAAAGCATGGACCCAATTGGTGCGTCTGGGTAACTCGTTACAGGCTAAAATTCAAATAACTTACAATTAAAATTTTTCACCCCGACTTCACAAAGAATAGCTGTAATCTTGAGAATACAGTACCTTCCATGCAATACTGTAAGACCATCGTATTGGCATTTAATTAATTTCACTCTATTCATGCTTTAAGTAATTTCGAGATGAACTTGGTAGGAAAACAACTAGTTCTAATATTCACATATTCATGTGGATCTATTTTAAATTAGCGGATTTACATATGAGTACAAATAGTTAACTTAAAAACAGTGGATTTATTAATGCATTTACAGTATTTACTTATACTCATGCAACTAATTTACATACTCATTATTCATATTCAATCCTTTATTTGATCCTTATTTTGATTTTTATAGTTTTGTTTTATTTTTTAATTGTGTTGATATGATTGGTTTCACTTGAACTTAATCAAAATTCTTAATAATTCAAAATTAATGAGAATATGTTTTTGATGTATATATTGACAAATACTTGACTAGTCTATGGTTTATCATGATACGCTTTTTTGTAGCATACATTTGAGTGTTTGTTCTATGAAACAATAACATTGTCAAACGTACAATAATAATCGGTGGTTTTGATTTGTTTACCTAACAAATACATTGTACTACTGTTCGGCCTGCGAACGCAACATTTTTAATTAATGATTAATTCATTCATTCAAGTTCATCCAGTCAGTCTGTATGCGCAATCCCACCATGAACGTTAATCTTCCATAATACTGTAAAATGACTAATTTTCACTGGGTTAAATTTCACTGATTTAGTAGCATTTCAGGCATATTCAGTAGGTTTTAAATTCACAGTTTTATCATTTAGATAATGTCAAAATAAAAATATCCAAGTCGAAAATAGTCACAGCATCACCAAAACCAAAAAAATCATATTTTTACTTATTTATATTCTAAACAACTTGATCACCCCCGAATAGATCACGACCAGTATAGAACACAGTAAGCAGTGATAATATTTAATTATCTCTTTCTCTCTGAAGATCATAGTTCAAATTAATAAAAGAAAAAAATATATATAAGTATTGACATGCTAAAACGAAGGTAGTGTTCATCTGTTCCACGAAATCTAGCTGTGCAGTCGAGAATTCAGTCCTCGTGGCATTCGCCGTTGTTATTTATATTAATTCCCGGTTGAAAACTTCAATAATCCGAAACTGTGACGCATATCCCCTTTATCGTGATAGAAGTAATTTACTCAAAGGACGGCGGTCGTCGCGCTGCGCGTGTTAGAATTTCATGTGAACAAACAATGTATTTTACACGCGTTATAAACGTCGAACAAGACGAGGCGCGACGACCACCGCCCTTTAATACCATTCGATGCGTGTGCGAGCTATTTCTCATTGCACGGTGAACGATAATGAGCCTGAGTCACTATAAAATTCACACGTATACAATCAGGTCTTTCATAAACTACGTTACCCCCAGTCGAAGTCACTATAAACAAACACCCGCCTTAGTAACCAGTCTACGTTGCGTAGTTGTCATTACGGAAAGAGGAATGAGTGGACTGCAAGTGAGCCCTCCCAGTGTGGTATACCACCGTCTCTCGTGGAGTATATGTACTTTTCTGGGTTAGCGCACAGTCCCTCTATCTGCATGATATAGGGATTGTGGTTGGCGGTAGATATGCTACGCAGGTATACGTATACATCTTCCCCGACCCCAAATACCCCGCTTCGCACAGCACAAATACGGAAACGAACAACTTTTTTACGATTTTCCGTGGTGTCATCCAATAGTTTTTATTTGGTGTTTTATATACTCATAGTATGAGCCCCACCGAAATTATCATCTAACTGTAAGGCCGTCGCTGATTGGCTGCTGAGCTGGAATGACAATTTTTTGGTTTCAAATACCCCCAGGAAAGTGTTCTATGTTCTTCGTGTAATTAGGTGTTCGTATTCAAGATTGGCATTTTATTCCTGATTTGTAGGAATCTGAAAAACGCGTTTCACAACTTGTCTCTTATTTAGTTTTATGCTGCATTCAAGATGGCGGCCCCATATAGTAAATATCGCATTTATTTTATTATCACGCGTGCGCCAGCTGACTGTGGTAGACCTATATTCAGATTCTGACTGTGGCGCAAAAAACGGACGTTTTTCGGAGATACATATGTATCGGGGCATCGTGGCGTTGCTGCTAGGGGACCGGAAAGGGGCTATACTACTTGACATTTGATTTTAATTTGTTGTAACTATGCATAACACGTGACCATTTTTAGTATTTACTTTTCACTCAAGTTTTACTGACGACCATAAATCACTACGCCATCAACGTTCAGACTCATTACGATAGGTGCATGTTATATAATCGATCATACACTCATAATTACAATAATAACAAAACACGGTGATTCCGAGGATTATTACAATATTTATTCAAGATTACTGTTGGTCTTTAGCCAAACTTTATAGACAACAGTTATTTTCGATAATTAGTTTGTGGTATACAATTACATTGATGCAGATACCAGATAGATTTGTTTTACGCTA